CCATTTTAAACTTTTTTGGGCATTACCAATAATCTCCACAGTTACAAGCTCCCCCCTGAAAATGGTGAAAACGGTTAGGGTCCCGCAAGATAATCAATCTCCCCACGACCTTGGCCATGTGCTTAGCCGCTGTATGGCAGTCCTCGCAAACCCTCAAGTTCTTGAAAACTCGAACAGGCCCACTGCCTGGGATCCGCATGATCCCGTATGCCATCGCCAGTTTTTCGCTGTGGTACTTCAGCATGTGCTGCTTTTCCTCTTCCTCCACATCGTGCAGCACAATTTTCGTGGCCGACACATAACCATCATCTTTAATCCGCAACTCCAGCTCATCCAAGAACGCGTAAATCCTCTCACTCTCGGCATGTGATGTGTCCCCAACACAGAACGTGTGAATGGCGCCTTGCACCTCGACCCAGCTGTACCCAGGTGATTTATTGGCCCCAACATCCCTCATTCTGGATCGCATCTTATTCACATCGGTCCACCTGCCGGTGGACGCGTACAAGTTAGAAAGCAGGACGTACATGCCCGTGTTCCAGGGCTCGAGTGCAAAGATCATGCGGGCAGCTTTTTCTCCCAGGGCTGTGTTACCGTGTATACGGCTGGCGCCGAGGAGGGCGCCCCATGTGGCGGGGTCAGGGTCAGAGGGCATTTCGGTCATTAGGTTTTGGGCCTCGTCCAGGCGCCCTGCTCGGCCGAGGAGGTCGATCATGCAGGTGTAGTGCTTTGAATTAGGGGATATGCCGTAATCTTGTGTCATCGAGTAAAATTGGCGTCTGCCTCTTTCTACTAACCCGGTATGGCTGCAGGCAGAGAGGACACCCACCTATATTAATTAATGCAAAAATATGGACAAGTGAACAAAGAGAGTAATAATGTAGATTTTCAGAAAGCAAACTCATAGAACAAAATTATTACAAACAAAATTCATATGAAGTGGTGGAGCCTACCATGGTAACTTCATCCGGCTGAACACGTTCCCTCTTCATTGCTTCAAAATGCTCGAGTGCCTCTGCCCCAAAACCGTGCCTCGCATAACCAATAATGATTGTGTTCCACGACACCACATCCTTATCGTTGATACTTCCAAATACCTTTCGCGCCTCGTCTATGCTCCCGCATCTGCAGTACATGGCAAGAAGCGCATTTCCCACAAAACACCCGAACTCGAACCCCACCTTCACCAAGTTCCCATGCACCTGCTTCCCAAGCCCAAAGGCAGCTATATCCGCACACGTGCTCAAAATACACGTGAAAGCCGACCTGTTCAGTAGCAGATCCAGAATTATGAAACTGGGGATGCAATGGATAATGAATAATTATTAATATAAATTAACTAATAATTCAGAACAAACTTATCAATAATTTAACCAATGGTCCTCAGAGACACGTAATTTTTTTCTTGATTAAACACTGAGACCAGAAAGATTTTTTTTTTCAGCATTATAAAAAATATTGAGGTTTTGTCATTTTTGGGCATCCACCTGTTCAAACGCTCGCCCGCTTTCTTCATCTCGATAAACACACCCAATGCCTTCTCTCCCTCACCATTCTGAGCGTACCCAGCTATGATTGCCGCCCACGAGACACAATCCCGGTTCGACATCCAACTGAATAAATCCAATGCACGAGCCATGTTCCCAATCTGAGCATACCCCGTTATCATTGTGTTCCAAGACACCACATTTCTAAACGGCATGACCTCAAACAGCTCCCAGGCCGCATCCATGTCCTTCTCCTGCACGTAACCTGTGATCATAGCATTCCACGACACGACATTCTTGTCGGGCATCTCGTCAAAGACCTGTCTTGCTTCCCGCAACCTCCCATTCTGCACGTAACCTGAAACCATAGCTGTCCACGTGAACACATCCTTAGTCGGGGATTTTTCGAACAGCTCCCTTGCCTTGTCCATTTTTCCGCTCTGCGCATAGCACGTGATTATTGTGTTCCAGGAGATTACGTCCCGCACGGGCATGCGGTCGAAAATCTGCATGGCCTCATCCAGATCCTTCCTCTTCAAGTAACCGCTCATCAAACAATTCCACGAAGCCACCGGCCAGAAGACCCTGCCCTCGAACAGAACTCTCGCCTCCTCTATTTTCCCTGTATGAACATAAGCGGAGAGAATCCCATTCCAAGAGATCTCGTCCTTCTCAGGCATGCAATTGAAAACTCGCTGGGCCTCGTCCACGAGCCCCCTGTCCGCGTACCCAGATAAAATTGCGTTCCACGAGACGATGTTTTTCACGGGCATTTCGTCGAACATTCTCTGAGCAGCCCCAAGGTTGCCACTCTTTACGTACTGACTGATCATTATGTTGCCAGTGACCACATCCCTTTGGGGCATTTTCTCGAACAGGTAGTGGGCCAGCCCGATTTTGCCGTTTGATAGGTAGCCGGATATCATGGTGTTGTAGGAGACCGTCGTTTTGCGGGGCATAGAGTCGAACAGGTGCCGGGCAATGTCGCATTGGCCTCTGCGCATGTGTTTGGCGATGGCTATGTTGCATCGCACTATGTCCGGGTCGGTGGTTTGAGGAGGGTTGGGAATGGGCGGTTTGGGAAGGCGGCCGATCTTGCGGCCAGAGGGCGGAGCTGCGATCGGCTCGGGGGCGGCGGTTGTGTTTCGCGACAGGTATGAGGTGGTTGTGCGTAGCTGTTTGGAACGCACGGCATGGATTGAGAGAGACGACACTTTCATTTCCCATTACCTGACCTGTGAAGACGCCTACTGCATTATTACATTGAACTAGTATTATTGGCCGTGCAAATGCACGGGACATATTAAAAGAAGTTGACGTAAAAAAAAAAAAGTATAATCATACAGTTACAAAATTATAAATTACCCAATACTTTTTTATGTTCATGTTCTTTTGGTTCGTAAAAGTTAATTAGTTGTATCGTCACATTATTATTTTTAATCTTTTCATGTTAATAATAAAAAGCAAGAATCAATATAATAATAATCATGATAATCAATAAAACTAAGTGAAAATGGAATTTGAACAATCATATTAACTTAATATAATTAATCCAGAGCAAGAAAAAATTGTGCCATATGTCAATACCAAACATAAATTAATACAGTGAAGAAAGACAAAATTAGTGCGCTAAGAAATAAAAAGTTGTTTCTTTAAAAAAGCACAAACCATAGATAAAAATTATACATTCAAATATAATTGTTTTACCATCCTCTTTCTTTTCTTCAACTTCTGAACTTTTTCCACCTCAATCATGAATTTTGTACTAAAAAAAAAATAAGTTTGTAGACATTAATTGGCACTTATGAATAATTCAACCAATTTTTTATTTTTATTTGCATAAAAAAAAAAGTTACCTCAAAGTCATGTAAATGTAAAATAAGGCAAAAGACCACTTTGTTTAATTTATCTTGACATCTCTTTCAGTAGTAGGGAAGACATAGATTGATTACCAAATAAATTCAAGTATATGTACCATAATATCTGTTGTATAATTGTTTTGAAATTAAAGTATCATATAAAGTCTATTTATATTTTATTCAACCGTATGGAATAACCCTATTGAAAGTTGATAAATCATTATTTTTTTAACATAAAATAAATATTTTGGTTGTAATAACTACTAATAGAGTATCTCTAACTGTTTTTAAATAATTAATTTAGATTATTTTTGTTGGAGACACAGTTCTTAAATATTTAAAATTTTACATTTTTTAAAAGAATAAAAATGAATTTAACACAGGCTAGAATTAAAATTTTAGATCAATTTTATGAAAAAAATATATAAATTGAAAAAAAAAAAGGGAAAACAGATTGAAGAAAAAAATGAATCAACACATTCCCATAAAAAAAATTATTTTTTTATATTAATAATAAATTTATTTGTTAATTGTATAGATGCAATATAATTTTTATGTCGTATCACCTTTTTTTGGAAAAATTTAAATTTAACCTAATATTTTATATGTCTCATCATATTTTTTAGGAAGGGTTTAAATTTAACCTAATATTTAATGTACATTATAACTAACTCATTGCAATTCGTTTTATACTTATCAAAATAAATAAAAATAGTTTGAAATAACAAAAAAAAAAAAAAAGCTAGAAAAACACTCTACATTTGAAACAGTCTTCACCCCACTTTTACAACTTATTAATAAAACAACTAGTTTTACACGTGGCAAATATGCTGACAACTTTCCATTTATAGTAATATTTAATGGAACTCATTGAAAAACTTTCTACTTTTAGTAAATGTGTTGTCTAATTATATAGTAGATAGATTAGTTTTTGGCGCGACGTTGATAAATGTATAACGGAGATTCTACGGTTCCGCTACGGAACCATTCTGTCGAGGTTTGTAACCGTTAAATTAACTATTCATGACGGTTACATGATGTTAGATCAACTATCCATGACGGTTACATGATAATCTAAAGGTTACAAATCCCGACAGAATGGTTCGGGACTATAACATTTCCCAATATACAATTTACGGGAGATGCTACGGTCTCGTTACGAACAGGACCGTAACATCTCCATTAATTTTTACTAATCACAAATGGTTTGGTCGTTAAATTATGACATACATTAACTTATGTAACTGCCTGAATTGTGAATAACAATTGAAATAAATGATTCTAGGTTATATTTTTATGTTATTGTCTTTTTTTTACAATAATAACTATGTTATTATTTTTTTACAAATAATAACTTAATTTTAACTTTAATTTGTTGAGTTTTCTAAAATTTCTTTAAATTACTTTGATCTAGAGGAGTCCAAGGTCTTGTTTCTAGTTGGGAGTCTAGGACACCATGTTGTGGTGGTCCTCTTGGTTTTCAGGAACTAGTTATCCACGCGGGATGTAAAACTTTTATTGTCTTGATTGAATGAATATCTATTGTCTTGTTAAAAAAACACATTAACGTATAAGTTATTACTTATTTATTTAAAATTTTTCAAATTATATTTTTTATTTTTGTCATTTTAATTTCTTAGTAAATTTATGCTTACACTTTGATAAACGGTCATTGATTTGTCACTTGATATTTCAGAATGATTAATTATTTCTCCGTCTTTTTATATTCATATTTGTTTCCCACATATTTGTTCCCCACTAATATGGGACAAATGCACTAAAAGTAACTAAAGTAGTGATTTATGGTTAGACATAGGATTGTAAAAGAATCAAAGCAAAGCGAATACCCAGAGATTCGATTCGATTCGTTTAAAATATTCGAAGATTCGATTCGTGATTCGATTCGATAACGAATTCATTTTTGATTTGTATTCGATTCGTTTAGAATATTCGAACATATTCGATTCGATTCGAAATTCGTTTTCAAAAAAAATTATAATTAAAAAATATTATAATTACAAAAATAAATTTTATTTTTCATATATTTTTAGAAAATTTTGTCGATTTATGATGTTTTTACTTTTTATGTCACAAAAATATTAGGAATATAACAATATATATACATATATTATAAACAAAATGTATATTATATATAATTTGTATAAAAATATTATAATTACAAAAATAAATTTTATTTTTCATATATTTTTAGAAAAATTTGTTAATTTATGATGTTTTTACTTTTTATGTCATAAAAATATTAGGAATATAACAATATATATATATGTATATACATATATTATAAACAAAATGTATATTATGTATAATTTGTAAAATTTATATAATTATTGTTAACGAATCGAATATTCAAATTTCGAATCAAATATCCACACATTCGAATTCGAATTCGTTATAATTTCGAATCTAAAACATCATTCGAATTCGAATTCGAATTCGAATATTTCGAATTCGAATCACGAATATCGAATTCGAATCATGAATCGAAACAAAAATGTTTGATTTGTTTACAACCCTAGTTAGACATACGCTGAAAATGGGTCGACGGGTGGACAGCTTGCACCCCGTCAAAAGTCATTGTTTGGCGGGATGGACTGGCCTGCCATCCTTGCGAGTCTTCTAAATGCCAGTCAGGCACAACCACACCACGAGTCGCAGGCTAGGTGGGTTAACTCGTCTAAAATAATAATAATAAAAAAATTGTGGCCCAGAACACGCGGACGAGAGATGATAGTTTTACCGGAATTAAATTCAAATATTAAATTCGGGTCGAATCAAAAGGAAGGTTAGCTGAATTATTTGTATGAATATTCAACCACAAAAAGAGAAATTGAATCTTTAACACTCTAATTCAATTTGTTTTTATTTCGATTTGCAACTAATGATTCTCAAGCGATGCAAAGACAATTTTCAAACTCCAAACAAAATTCAGATAATGATGATGACGTTAGGTAGTCAGAGATAATTGTTTCTAGTTTTAAATGCAATTGATGAGCAAACAGTCCTTCGGTTAGGGGTTCAAGTAACCTGTTTTTCTAGAGGTTCAATGTCAGTTACTTCTCGTAACAAGAGAACAAACATGAACATTCAATATCGAAACAATTAACACATAGACAATAAATTTAAGAACAAGCCTATTCTAAATGAGCATAGATCGATCAACTTCTCCCCTTTCAGTTCTACAAGTTGATTAATGAGATTAGAATGATGATCAAGCAACTAACCCTAGGTTCAACTCAACTCGAATAGATTAAACAACAAGTAAACACATAAATCCTTATCGAACCAGAACAATTATCTCATATCCCCAACAAAACGATTTAGCCACTCATATTGATATCGACCACAACAAAAAGATTCAACGAGATAATTCACATCCATAGTCAAATGAAAGGAACTTACGATCAATCAAAGTCGAGAAACGAATTCAAATTACAAGCCCAATCGCGTTCGTCTCATAGTATCACTCCCTAAAATCGAATCCAAGCAAAACTAAGAAACCAAATGTTTGGAAATAGAGAAAAACTGAATAATACGCAATATGAGAATGAATTCTCAGCCCTAAGCTCGATTCCCCTTAAATAGCCTACCAAAAACAACCAACAAAAATCAGTTTTGAATTTTGAAAATCGTCAGCGTCGCGGTGCGACGGGTCGACGTGGCAGGTCGCGAGACTGATCGGTCACGACGCGAGTAAACTTCTGTGCCGCGACGCGAGGCATGGGACTGACATGCGTCATATTTACGTGCATTTTATAGTGATTTTTGTGTCCGTTTCGTCATAGTTTAATATATAATCAGTTATTATGCAATTAATTATTATACAATTAATTATATACTTAATTTATTTTGAGGTGTTTTATTTTGAATTTTGACAGAAAATGGGATCGAAATAATTTTTGGAGTCGGAAACTGTGTAAAATGAGTATGAACGGGATATGGTCATGCAGTGTAATGAGCCCAACATAAGACCCTCATGAGCAGAAAAAAAGCAGCATAATGCTAATTGGGCCGGCCCAAGAAAATCACAAATAAGCAAGTAATGGCCAGCCCACAAGATA